TCTAACTAATTCGGACTTACATTTGTGAGTGTGATGAGGGATGGACCGGGAAATTTTGCAATAAGACAATCGATTTCTGTCAATCGCCGCCGTGTCAATGGGTAGAACGTGTTCAAAGTGGGTTTTATTCGAGGAAAATGGAAACACATCCTTTCTGAAGCACTGAGTTTTTATTTTTAAAGTTCAAGGAAAAGAAATATCATTCAGAGGTGTGCTTTGAGCAGAAAGTACAATTAACACACTGTCAAAAATTATAGACGCACCCTGTTTTGCTAGTTTAGAGTCGGATATAAATGTGCTAGTCTCCGTGAAAAGTATTTTTGAGTTTCTTTATTGTAAAAAAATACAATAAAGATAACCTTTATAAATTCATCCATCATCAGAACATATTCTTACTTTTGACGTCAAAGACCGTATAATCTTTTGAGTGTAATGAATTGAGATTTGCTCAACTCTTATGTCAGTAGATTTTTTTAGAATTGTGTAGTTTTTTTCAACAATTATTTCACGTGCCAATGGTCATGAACATCTCCCTGCATCGAGGCTACCGATAGAACCTCCGACGGCGCAACCCCTCCGGTGGTAAGAAGTCGTCCCTAGGCTGACGCAACCTCCGGTGGTAAGATAGCGGCATAAAATAGGATCCGAACAAGGAAAGCCGGAATTAATATGATCCTGGTACAGGGGTCGCGACCGTATCAAATTCCCTATTTAATATGATCCGCGTACAGTGTATGGGGATCATAAAAAAAAATCCGTAATTAATATGATCCCGGTACAGTGTATGAGGATCGTATTAAATAGTGAATTAATATGATCCCGTGTTTTTTGTGGTGGTTTTTCTAAGTTTTTTAAAATATTTAGTCTGCCCATCCCCGCCTACAGAGAAACACATATTTAAAAAAACATAAATACAAGACCACTAAATAGATCACGATATCCTTGCTTGTCTCTCCCTCCGGTTCCTGGTCCATTTCTCATCGTCGCTCACGTCATCACTCATCGAGATCTTCCTCATCGTCACTCTCTTCTCACCGTCGCGGCTTCAGACCTTCCATGCTAAATAGAAAAGTTAAGTATAGAACCAACATATATTATAGAATAAATATTAGTGACATTTCAAAAAAACCCACGAGTTATCAAACCGTCATTCAGCACAAGCAAATATTGATCGAGATAAGCGACGAGCGAGTCTCCTTCGGTGGCAAACCACAATTTGGCCGATTCCCACATGTCTTGGTCGTCGAGGAAAGCCTGAAATGAATTTTATAGAATAATATAGATCATAAAAAACTAACTTGAATGATTATGGAACGTACAATGATTGAATCCGAGGATTCAGCTTGGGGACTACCAAACGAAGTCTGACGGCTGCTACAAACTATGAGCCACCTTTACAAACGAATCTCCAACCTAAAAGTAGGTACCATTGATAAGTAAACGGAAAAACAACTTACCGGTAACGGCCTCCACAACGCGCTTGAAGGAGATGACCAATCAATTTCCTGTATGTCAAACGAGTAGAAACTAGGAGAAAAGTAGACATTCTTGGCTTTTCCTTGTTCTTGATCCTATTTAATACTCAATATATCTACTCACTGGAGGCTGCGCACGTCCCGGAGGTTCTACGAATGGCCTCGATGCAGGAGATGTTCACGACTATGATCCCGGTACTGCCGCGGCCGCGGTAATTCACGTCCATTCATACTGATCCGCGTACAGGCAAGGCATCGTAAAAATCGTGGGCGGAGGCCAGTGACTGTCCACACAAAGGAGCAAAAAATCAAAAATTAAAATTTCAAAAAAAACTATCTTACCGTATAGAGACAGAGCAGAGTCAGCTCAGACGACGCACCTAAAAAATTGGTCTGAATGGATCGATTGTAGGAGCACCGAGCACATGACGCGCAAGAATTAAGGATGCAAGAGGGCCGAACGAAGAGGCCCCCTACCCCCGCACGGACAAATTGGATAAGGCGAGCTGTGAAACCTCCTAATAACACGAGCCCCACCTCGCGCTGTCGGAGAAGATTTACGGCGCGCTACGTTGAGCACGCGCCAGAGCACGCAAAAATCTCGGCATGGTCAGGGAACATATAAACTAATTAAATAAAAAATTTTCCCTGAAATTGAATTTCACTGAAAATCCACGGGAGATATAGTGAGATTCTCTATATTATTCTATTATTCTGTTTGGCCATAAGACCAACTTTAATTTTTTTAGGTGCGTCAGTTCCAGGACGACGCCGCTCTCACGACATACGGTAAGATAGTTAAAACTTTGAAATTTTTAATTTTCTTGAAATTTTTTGTCCCTTTGTGTGGACGGTCAAGAAATTCCGCCTGATTTTTTTACGATGCCTATTACACTGTACGCGGATCATATTAAATAGGGAATTTGTCCGGTCGCGGCCCACGGTACCGGGATCATAGTCATGAACATCTCCTTACACGAGGCTATCCGATAGAACCCTCCGGGACGGCAAAGCGAAATCCTCTGGTGGTAAGATAGTGGTATAAAATAGGATCCCGTGAACAAGGAAAGCCGGGAATCTACTTTTCTCTAATTTCTACTCGTTTGACATACGAAAATTGATTGGTCATCTCGGCAAGCGCATTGTGGAGACCGTTACCGGTAAGTTGTTTTTCCATTTACTTATCAATAGTACCTACTTTTAGGTTGGAGATTCGTTTGTAAGGTGGCTCATAGCATTTGTGAGCCCATCAGACTTCGTTTGATGGTCGCAAAAGCTGAATCCCTGGATCTGAACCCGCAATCATTGCGTGCCGCCCAATCATTCAAGTTAGTTTTTTTATGATCTATATTATTCTATAAAATTCATTTCAGGCTTTCCTCGACGACCAAGACATGTGGGAATTAACCAAATTGTGGTTTACCACCGAATGAGAGACTCGTCGTCGCTTATCTCGATCACAACAATATTTGCTAAAGGGACGACGGTTTATAACCTCAACGTGGGTTTTTATGAAATGTCACTAATATTTATTCTATAATATATTTGGTTCTATACTTAACTGTTCTATTTAGCATGGAAGGTCAAGCGCGACGGTGAAGAGAGTGACGATGAGGAAGATCTCGATGACGATGACGTGAGCGACGATGAGGAAATGGACCAGGAGGAGCCGGAGGAAGAAGACAACAAGGATATCGATCTATTTAGTGAATCTTTGTAATTTATGTTTTTTAAAATGTGATTTTCGTGGGCGGGATAAGGGCTAATAAATATTTTTAAAAACCTTAGAAAAACCATAAAGCAACGTGGATCATATTAATCACTATTTAATACGATCCCCATACACTGTACCGGAATTATATTAATTAGGGATTTTTTTATGCAGGATCCCATACACTGTACGCGGATCATATTAAATAGGGAATTTGTCCGGTCGCGGCCCACTGTACCGGGATCATATTAATTCCGGCTTTTCCTTGTTCCGGATCCTATTTTAATACCACTATCTTACCACCGGAGGTTGCGTCAGCCTAGGACGACTTTCTTACCACCGGAGGTTGCGCCGTCCCGGAGGTTCTATCGAATGGCCTCGATGCAGGAGATGTTCATGACCATTAGCAATAGTGAAATAATTGTTGAAAAAAAACTACATAATTCTAAAAAAATCTACTGACATAAGAGTTGAGCAAATCTCAATTCATTACACTCAAAAGTTACGGTCTTTGACGTCAAAAAGTAGAATAATTTTCTGATGATGGATGAATTTATAAGGTATCTTTATTGTATTTTTTACAATAAAGAAACTAAAAAATACTTTTCACGAGACTAGCATTTATATCCGACTCTAAACTAGCAAAAAACAGGGTGCGTCTATAATTTTTTGACAGAGTGTATTAATTTGTACTTTCTGCTCAAAAGCACCCTCTCAGGCCGAAATTTCTTTTCCTTGTTTTAAAAATAAAGAACTCAGTGCTTCAGAAAGGATGTGTTTCCATTTTCCTCGAATAAAACCCACATTTGAACACGTTCCACCCCATTGACACGGCGGCGATTGACAGAAATCGATTGTCTTATTGCAAAATTTCCCGGTCCATCCCTCATCACACTCACAAATGTAAGTCGAATTGAACGAATCCACAACAATCGAGCAATTTCCGTATTTGCCACACCGGTCCGGATTGCACATATTGGGAACTGGAAATGAATGGATATGAAAAGTTTTCTAAAATTTGTCTATTTCTGTTTAAAATCTGTTTTGAAAACTGTCGTAACCTTGCTAATAATTTTATTTAACCTACAATAGTCTATGAGGGTTGGAAGACAAAAGTAGTTGATTAAAGAAATTTAGGGGTAGTTTTCGAAGGTTGACACATTTTCGACAATGCCTACTCAAAAAGAACATATTGTTCGGAAATTCTTCCGATAAAAATCTATTTCTCTCGTAATCCTCCCTTTTTTCTTTGAAATCTTCCCACGATTTCCCTAGCCAAAACATAGACATTTCTAAAACATTTCCCCCTCAACTTTTCGATATATAAACCCTCCGGTGCTTTAATAAATATTCTACCTTGAACCAAGGGATATGGACACAACCTAACCCCAACATTTTTGGTGCGCAAAATGGGTGCGTAAAATGGTGCGTAAAATGGGTGGAACGTGGGTGGAACGTGTTCAAATGTGGGTTTTATTCGAGGAAAATGGAAACACATCCTTTCTGAAGCACTGAGTTCTTTATTTTTAAAACAAGGAAAAGAAATTTCGGCCTGAGAGGGTGCTTTTGAGCAGAAAGTACAAATTAATACTACAATTATAAGTTTGCCCAAAGCTTAAAAATGTAGAACAGGGTGAATTCTTGAGCCCAACTTTCAAAGTGGTAGTTGGATAAAGCTTTAGAAGTATGCTAGCAGTCTAATTCTTAATTTTGATCAATATTTTAGATCTACCCACCGGCCGACCCATTTTTCCTTTGCGCCTGTCAGCCGGGAACATCGGGAACCCTTTGTGAATTCAGTAAGAAATTGTTGTACTGATAAAATTGCTCCATTTCTAGACCCCGACGATTGCCCGTATAAACAAAGATTAAAAATGGAGATGATGAACTGATAGCCCAGAAATTTCGAGAGATTAATTGGCGTCGGAGAATAAGCAATTGCCGGTCCGCATTTGTGATGTGAGTAATTTTTTCAAGATTTAACTCAATTCTTATCTCTCACTTTGTTCCAACCAAAGCTGCCTTTTTTGAGCAACGATTTTGTGTAGCTCAAAAATGGCGGAACAAATTTCTGTAAATGGCTGTAATTTGTAATTTATCAGTCTCTTTTTGAGCGAACGGATTTTGGGAGTCAACGGAAAAATACAAAAATTTAAACGAATCGTTGTTTAGGAAAAGTTCAAGTATCGGATGGCAAATCAAATAGCCGAGTGGCAGATCGGCTTCGATGGAGGAATCGCGCTGAAACCCGATAGAGCGATCATCGACTTTCGCACAACGGTTAAAAAACTGAGTTCTTTACTCTTTACAGTATACAACTTACCAGACCAATGTGTTGGGTAGAGGGATTCTTTTGGATTAGAGCTTCCACAAGGATTCAAAGTCAACGTATTGCTGAGTATCAGATTTGTGGACTTCCCAAATGGGAAATGCGTGCCAAAATTTCGCGAGACGCTTTGTTCGGGTCCCGGGTTAACACTAACCTTTCACTTGGGTAATCAACTTTCACAATTTTATTTGTGCATCCCCCAACGGGGACGCGTTCCAAAATTTTTTCGAGACACTGTTGGAAGGTCTCGGGGTTAATGCTAACCTCAAACTTGGGTAATTAAACCGAAGACCGTGGTCTCTGTCGCGGTATGTGGACGAGCCGTGTGCCATATGCTGCTTTTTCCTAAGAGACACAGGAAAGGTACACACAGTCGTGTCGCCTCGCGTCTCTGCGAGGGCTGATGCTCTCTTGTATTCGCTGGCGGCCGCCTACTTCAGCCGTCTCTCACAGCCACGCACTCGCTTACGACCATACCACGTTGAAAACACGGCATCCCGTCCGATCTGCCAAGTTAAGCAACGTTGGGCTCGGTTAGTACTTGGATCGGAGACGGCTTGGGAATCCCGAGTGCCGTAAGCTTTTTGAATTTTTGTGGATCGGTTTAGAGACTTGAGAATCAATTTTTGCCCAAATTAACAGGATAAATCGATTGCCTTTTCAATTTTCAAGTTTACAGAGTAGTCAAAAATTATAGCAACTCGGTATTCGCTGGAATTCTTGCCAACTGCAATTTAAAACTAATTAAACCACTGATAAAATAACAATTTTTATTCATTTTTCAACAAACAACAGTGGGAGCCTTGAGTCGTTTCGGGAACGTATTGACCGTGGCGACCGGGTAGCCTAATCCAACTCATCCCAGGCTTTCATCAACGATTCCTTCAAGGAATTGATGTCTTTGGGCGACTTCGAGCAAGCTTTTGCTGCCAAAACGCTCCAGACAGAGTGATCAAGGGGTTAAGATCAAGAGAGCTTGGTGGCAACTTGTCTCTACTGATCGCACAAGTCTACAAAGTCCTACAAACTTACGCCTAAACTAAGACTAAACTCAAACTCTACTTTCTCGACCAACCGCTCAATTGGGATCACAAGGTATCCTCCGACAACCTTTTCCCTGATAATGATTGCTTTTAGAATTTGATTGCTTTTAGAACAATAAAAAGACTATCTCTCATCTTTTACTTTAAGTAGCACAGTAATTTATAGCACACCCAAGCTTTCAAGAGCTTAAAAATGAGAATTTTTGACGATTTTTAGCCGATTTTGCTGTCCTTGAACTTTTTTGGTTTATGTCTTTCATTTTACAGTATTCTACAACCTTAAAATGTGTTAGCTATTGCAACAAAAGAGTTAGCAAATCCAAAAAAGGGAAATTTTGCCTTGGACAACTTGGAACAACTACGATACTTTAGTTAATTCTAATGCTATGAATCACCTATACTCAATCGTTTTGCGTTTTTGAATGCTAATAATGATTCACTCAAATTTCATACTCCGTTATGATTCATATGGGATAACTGGGCAATTTTCGATAACTTTTCCCTTTGAAATTGTTCGACTTCTTTCCTCTTTTCCTCTCTCTCAATTTGCCGGAACCGGTCCCCCCTTTATAGGGATTTTTCGAAAAAATAATCGAGAGCAATTTACTTTTTGACGAAAATAAAAATAAAGACTTTTCGGGGGTAAATGTTATTTTGGCCGATTTTCCGCTGGAACCGATTCGGCTATTTTATCGGTTTTGACTCTCCGGCTATTTCAAATTTGCAAATATTTTTGTGCATAAAAACTTTATCTTTTAAATACCTAGCCACTTTAAATCTTTATCTTAATCTCAACTTTAACCTCGAAACTTTTTCAGAAGTCCAACTCGAATAGGCGCTTTAAAGCGTTGCTCGTAACCCATAACGTTACTGGATCTTACAGTAACCCAAGTAGTTGGTTCAGCCATAAGATCAGATTTAAGATTTAAGATTTATAATTCAGATTTAAGACCATAAGATTACCGTAATATCAACTAATTTATAGCCAAGAATACACAAAAATCTGTAAAGATCAAGTCTGTGGTATGGAGATTTAGCCCGGGTTACGGTAACTCGAGTACGCTTTGGCTTTAGTCAGAAAGAAGTCTGCGTCAATTTTCATGCATTTCATGATAAATATAAACGTGCAGCTCCTAAATATTTATTACAGCTATTTGCATCGTTTCAATTTTCAATTTCAACTTGCAGCCATGAAATTCCTTCTCCTTTCCATTCTTATCAGCGTCGCCGCCGCCAAGATTTCCACCATCAAAGTCACCGGAACGGTACTGTGCAGAAAGCAAAAACAACCCGGATTGGAAGTCGTTCTCAAGGAGTCCGATTCTTGTGAGTTATCCGGATTTACAACACTTATCATATGGGTGTTGAAAAAGCACGTGTTGAACACGATTTCTCAACTAAATCAAGTAAAATGAATGGCAAAGAATTTGGAACCAAGGGGAATTGAACCCCCGATCTTCTGCTTACCGGGCAGATCCTCTAACACTGAGCTATTGGCGCCTTCTTTCGCCAGGAAGAAATAGGAAGGGCAAGGAAGAAGAAAGAAAGGAAGAAAGAGTGGGAAATAAAGTTATGTTTTGATTTTAAACTCTTGAACCGTTGAGTAAAGTTAGGCCAAAAGCTCACAAATAAGCGAGACATTTGGGGTGGATTGTCCCTGTCTCGTTTCGTTAAATATACAAGAGACTGTGGTCTTACCATATCTTAAACATCGCCAAATATCCAATTTAGTCACTCCCGATGACAAATTGAGTCAAACGACGACGAACAAAGACGGTTTCTTCGAGATCTCGGGACAAGATGATGAATGGGGATCGATTGAGCCATACGTTTACATCTTCCACCATTGTCGTATCCTGAAAGAGGTAAAGATTCGAAAAGTTCACATTTGACAGACTTGACAAATTTACTTAAAAGCTTCGGGATGACAAAATCGGGTGAAATTCTAATAAAAATTCTGGCTAAAACACAATAAAAGCGAGCTTAAATAGAAATTTGAGTTACACTTTGAGTTACATTTATACCTATTTCTGTCGGAATTTCGGTGTAGTGTAACTTTTTAATCGGTTTCCTTGCAGAAGGGTTTTGCAAGGAGTATGGTAGGTATTGGTGAGAAATCCAAAACGTCTGTGTGCTTGTTAGTCTGATACAAGAACACTAAACTTGAGCAAGTAATCCTGCTCGTTGCGGATTACGAAGACTACGGATGACTTCAATAGAATAACTACAGTAATATAAATCTGCATATTTGAAGCTTTACAAGAGTCACAAATCTTTTTTAGGGCTGCCGAACTCGTTCCCGATACGATGTCCCACAGCCGGTGATCAACGGTGTTTACGAGATGAGCTACATTGATCTCGATATCGCTCAATCCGGCGAGACTTACGAATGCTAAATGCACACCGGAATCTGCTAGTTTTGACGTGCATTTTTTGAATAAATCTCTTTCTTCTAAATACATTAATCGAATCTTCACTCTTTATACAGTAAAACTCATTTGTTTTTGCACGTTATTTGTCTTCAAAAGTGACTTCATCGAATTTGAGTATGGCCCGGAAAGACTCAGTGAAACCCCGTCAGTAGAGCCTTCGTTAGTAGACTGGAATTTCGACTCGGATAGGTGCACTAAAGTGACTTGTTGAACTCCTAAAGGTTAGAAGTTACAATTTAACAAACAATAACAAACCCTCAGGTGTATTCAAGTTGTTGTTCATGATGTCGAGAGCGGCCATCGCCGAAATATTGTGTTTGTCCATTTCAAGACATCTTTCAAACGCAATTCTAGATCGCCAAAGTTACCATTATGTCAATAATACAAAGCTTGCTTTATCTAATTTCCCCAAGCGCACCAAACAGTGTCCAATCCCGAGTCGAACATCCGGTGGACAATCCGGCTTCAACCCTCAACGCCTTCTTGTAATGAAGAAGTGATGTTTTGTGGTCTTTCTTCTGGAAAGCAATGCACGCTCGTCCCAATGTGGCGGGAATATTATCAGGAGACTAGAGCTTCATAGAAGTAGACCATCTCACAAATTTTACCGTGTTGACGACAAAATTGAACTGCTCATCGGCTTGTTCCATCATATTGCCGTCGAGGAGGCAAAAGTAGGTACGTCCAAGTAAGTGGTACCTTGATCATACCTAAAACGATTCATTTGCTCAAAGCTAAAGCAATAGCTTACATTTGAATTTTATCAGCCGTTGTGTAGAGCAGTGTGGCTTTTTGGAAACATTCCTTGCGTCTTTCCTTGTTTGCCCGTTCTCGATGTCCCTAAAGCAAAAAAGTTTAGCATAAGATTGTTTGAATCAGGTTAAAAGTAAAAATAAACAAACCTCTTGCACATAAAAAGCAGCTAACGTGTCGAGAGCAGCTCTTATCTGGTCTTTCTCAATTCCCGGGTAGTCGAGAAAGGCGTCACCTAAATTAGAAATTTCAAATCACTTAATTGCTTAATCTACCTCCTGCAGTTCATCATCAAAACTGTTTCGAATCAAACTTTAAACTTTTTAAGTTTAATAAGATCCCCAAAAAGTTGAGCGACAAAAAATATTTGCTAACTATGTAACGTTTTAAACTCGTTTTACCGCAGCATCGACCCAACAATGCAATGGAGCCCTTTCTTGTGGCAAAATGTTCAACATTTCGTACAACTCATCGACAGCAAACAAACGATCACCTCCTAAAGATACAATTGTTCAAAGATTTAAAGGCTAAAACCTTAACATTTTGTGGCTTTTTGTTAAACGATTTATTCACAACTCGAATATTCTTTTCCCCATCAGCAATTAGTCCGTACAATCGTCCAAGTAGGCCCCTTTCAATGAATGGTTCATATTTGTAGGAGACAAGCACCGCCGCGAAAACCTCTCGATTATTGAAAAGTTCAACATTCGATAGACCAGCTTTTTTTGCTTGTATTTCTTTCAAGAACATGCCTTTCAGTGGTGGCAAGATGTCGCTTAATTCCGCGGTCAAATACAATGATCGAGGACTGTTTTTGTTGAGCTCTTTCATGCTGAGCAGTCGTCCTGCTTCTGCTTGCGAGAATTTGTTCGTCAATCTTTCCATCTCCGTGCGTCCTCGACCCGAATAACGACTGTTTAGTTATCTAGTTAGCTAGTATCCATTTTTCACTCTAAAGTTATTGATGTCTTGACCATAAATGTTCCCACACCATATCAAAGAATAAATGGCAATTGTTACGACAGATTGGGGAAAGACAGTGTTAATACAACCACACAAAACAATAAATAGATCCAACTAAGCCAGGATAAAAGTGGCCCCTCCCAACCACCAAAGTACCAAAGTACCAAAGTGCCACCCAACCCACAAAGTACGTTGGACAACGTATTGTCAAACGGACTCTCTAAAAGTTCGCTAAAATTGATGGCTGCAGGTTGGGCCGACCTCCCTGGACAATTGTCGAATAGTATTAGCTCCGTTGTCGTTATTTCCCTATTTTTTTAGTTTCGATACAGTGATCGCATCAGAAACAATTTACAACACAAGCAACTACGAGGCTTTCCATTTGGCGATTGATCATTCACTGAAGGAAGATGGTGTTGCGTGAGTTTTTTTGTTAGTCTACGATGATTGCTACAAGTGCAAACTTAGATTACGCGACGCTCCTAAAGGGGGCTTCTATTAGAGTATTTACGATAGGCACTTTTTAAGACATATCCTATAATGGTTTAAGAACTACAAGTTTACACTGCAGCTGCTCTCTACAGTGTTCATTGTTGAGCTGTCCGTAAAAATAAGAGCCTTATAACGAAAAACTGTTACAGGTTGATGAATCGGCATCATTCTGTTCAAGGTGATGTTATTATTCTTTTGTGGCTACAAAGAAGGTTTGATTTCACAATACGTTTTGATAATATCAAGCACATCTCAGCTTCCCCTTTCACCCGATCAACTTTCCGAAGCAAAAAGGCATGTCGATGAAGAGACGATCAGTCGATTGAAACAAATCTCAGCTGATAGCTTTGCAAAGATCGTTAAAGGAAAGGTGAGATTACATATGGTTACAAATATTTAAACTAGATAGATAAACTTTTAAAATACCCACAAATTTAAGTTTTTATAAATTAAATGTACCTTTCGAGGTATACCGATGCCCTGAAACTCTCCGTCTCCTGGCGATTAGCGATTAGCAAAGTACAAAAACTCAATTCAGTATTCTGAAAGAGCGTGATAAGAGCTATCGAATGACATATAGCACTTTATGGTCCGATGAAATATGAAATTTCACTAACATCAAAGAGGCCGCCTTTAATTCTGCAATTTTGGATGAAAGTTTTTGGATTATTTGATTTTTCCTTTAATTTTTGGGCTCAACTTCAAATTTGTAGTGATCGAATTTTTGATTTAAAGACGATTATTTTTGTTACCTTAGTGAAACGCCTCTAAAGCTTATCTTTTTTCGCTTTAATGTGTCATCATAGCAGCCTGAAATGTTTGCTTTAAAATGTAAACTGGAAGAAAAGCTTTTTCCAAACATTAAAGTTCTTTTTTCAAAGTTGTGTTATTGTAGACAACAATTTGGGAATCGAAAAGCTGCGACTTTCAGAAATTCTGTCAAATGGATTTCAAAGATTCGTAACGTTTTTAACACGTTGACGACGAGGCCACTTTTCGCTCGTCCCTCATTTGGAACGATGGTTCTTCCAACTTTTATCATGAAGCTATCATTATCGATGCAAATGTAATTATTAGATTGAAACATTTTTTTTGTTTTACTGAGAATAAATGCAGCTTTTTAAAATAGCGCCATTTTTTAATTTACAACCCAATAAATCCAAGTTAGATGTATCTAAGTAAGACGATAAACAATTCGATTCAAAGAATTCTTTTCATAAAATAAATCTGGCTCGTTGATCGTTTTGCTGGACAAATTCAATGTCTACTGGAGTACATCAATTGTGCTCATAGTTTATATTCTTTAGTTTCTCAATCCAAATCGTCATTTTCCTAGACACTCAAACTATAACTTTGATCATGCTTATAGTTACCATGAGAGAGAAATTTGTATCTTCACAGAACATTTCCCCTTTTCCTAAATTCCAGAGCAAAGCTGAAGCTGTTATTTTTGATATTTTTGTCTGTCCTCCATCTCCTCCAAACAAGATCCAGTAAACATGTTATCTATCGAAGCTTGTCCCCAATTTCCCTTTCTTCAAATGGACTCCACTTTTCGAATTTTCTATGCAATTTACATTGCTTTGATGGCAATTTTTGGGATCTCTGCTAATTTAATTTTGTTAACAGCAATTCTGAAAAATCCAAGACATTTTCTGAGTATCGAAATTTTTCATATTACAATTTCCCAAACGATTATTGGATCGGTGTTCTTAATTGTTTACTTGACTGTAGCGGCACCAGGTTGGACTTCACCATCTAACTCAAATAAAGCGTTTCTTTTTTTCATGATTTTTACCATGTCATGATCCTCTATTACAAGAAGTTTCCCATACCACCATGGTCACCATCACCATATAGGTCACCACCATGAGATTTTTGCCATAAAATTAAAACTCTCTACTGGCATTATAGTGTACTATTAGAGTTACTATATAGACTAAGATTTTTAGCCAAACACTTTATTCATCTTAATTATATGATAATCTGCCATACATAAGAGTTTTTCAACTCGCCTTTTTTTAAAGTGTTCCAAGGAAACGCTAATCAATAAAATGAATGGTTAAAATTTGTAGTTATCCTAATAGTGTTTGTTATGCATCACGATGCCAGTACAAAGTTTCATTTTATGGCAAAAGTCTCATGGTGGTGGCCCATATGATGATGGTGACAATGGTGGCTCAGAAATTTCATGCATAGGGAGTATAGAGATATGATGAAATTTCATGCATAGGAGAGAGAATCATGAAAAAACATCAAAATTTCCGGACCTCAAAAATATCATTTTGGCACCATACCTACTACTTTGAGTCACTTAAAGTTTTTTAGAAATTTGACAGAAAGTGACTTTTTTTGACACCCTGTACATGCATATGTTTAATTTTTCTTTTTGGACAGGTTCTTTGCCCAGAAACTTATACTTCCATTTTCCAAAAATTATCAGAGTTTTCCGAGAAACCCACATTCCCACGAACCAGCCGACAACAAATAATAGAATAACTACAAACGGCAAAAAAATTATGAAAATAAAAGAGTTCCAACTAAATGAAATAATCTGCATTTTATTCAGTGATCATCAATTACTATCCCCACATCACCGATCTCACTCCAATGATCATTTTATCCTCTCTCGACTCGTTGACCTATTTCTCTGAACAAGGATTCCTTATGGCCATTGCCACTAATCGATTGTTACACATGTGTACAAGACTACGGGATGACTTTATTTACCGAGTTACGGTAGGTTATCGGGAAAACGCTTAGATACAACTGTACGCTCAATGAAAACAAAGTAAAACTGCATTAACCGTTAGATGTAGAAACACCTAAAACAATAGTATTCCTACTTCAGCAATTTTTCCACCTCTGTGCTTGGTGTTTTGGTCTTCTGCTTTTCATCGTTCCCCACTTCTTTGGTTGCTATAAAGTATTCACGCCACGACTAATAAGCTATACCTTTGCGTGTGGAAAATGTGGACTTGATCAGATCATTCAACTCTGCGGTTTGTAGAAGATTCACATGTTTTCGTTTACTAGGGGTTTCCAGGCACTCTTCCTTCTTGGTTTCTCGCTGGTATCTACTTTCTTGTGATCATTCGAATAGTATTCATCAAGAGGGATTTCTCCATGCAACTGTCTCTGGTATGAGTTTGCCGAAAATTGAAAACGAAACAAAGTGGAGTCTTTTTCAAAGTTAACAGGCCAACAGCTCAAACCCCCATAACCTGGAATAATTTGGTCTTGTTAGGTAGCCTGCTAGACCTAGTTCTAACTTATGATCAGATTTTAATTCTAATAAAATACAAAT